CAAACGCAAACGCCAATATAATTGGAAATTACCAATAATTGTAAATAAATGGAAATGGTGTGAATTATTTCCGTTTGTTCATGCATCAAAATTGACTCTATTATTCGATGGGCAGCGGAAAATTTCGACGGGATAAAACTCCATTTAAGTTGTTCGCTGTTTAATCTGTCACTTATGGCACATGAAAGGCATTGAGTCAAGCTGAACAAATAGTTTTGCGCTCACAGACAATTTTATAATATCAAAAGTCTTTACGATCTAGACTTGAATGAACTGCCGCCAGCTGTTTTTAACAATTTTCGGGATAATCTTGTTCAGCGCTATTTTTGGCAATTAATCGTCGCGCAGACGATTTTTCATTGAATACGCTTCTCATTCTCTACAGTGTACGCTGTAGCTGTGAATTCAAAAGATTTTCAAACGTCACAATTTTGCTAGAAGGAAAATAATGTTCGGAACGAAACGACTGTATGTGTGTTGTTAAAAAGCAGTTACACGAGATTTGGTGCACTTGTTTCTGAACCGAATGAAAAAACAAACCTTGGCCAGCCAACGATATATAATCGATAATGATTTTTTTCTATGTTCAAAATCAGAACGCTCTAACGGTTTCAAAATTAGTGAATTGAAAGGCACATTTATTCACGTTGAATCGAACGCAATGGATTGTGTTTTTCTAAGAGAGCAAGAGGAAAGAGGCGTACCGATTAAGAGCAGCGTGGATGCCGTTTAACATGCACCGACTCGTATTGGTGTTTTTTTTTGTATCTTTTGAACCACTTATTAAACTGTTTGCATTCGTTTGTGATACTCGTTTTCTTTCCATGCACTCACAGTCAATACAAATGCCGTTTTATTCTTTCTTCATAATAATAATGCAAACCAGAGTACACTTAGTGAATTTATCAATTCAAATCGATGGGATGGTTCTCTCTCTCTCTCTCTATCGGTCGGTTGTCTATTTCCAGCCAACTCGTAATTCAATTATCGATGATGCCCTCATAAAACCGAAGTCTATGCTGGAAATTGGTGATGAGGAAGAAAATTTGTGTCAGACAACTGCAATCGAAAAGCGTTGTAATACATTTTAATAGCAACGCGTTGTAGTCGTTATGAATAAGCAATAGAAAGTATCGAAACGATTAAACACAATTCAAATTTTTCTCTCTTCTCGGCATTGACTGCGCATCAAAAATGATTTTAACTTGATTGATGCATTGTATAATTTCAACAGCGGAACGCACATACCAAACGTCATTACTAATTGAATTTGGGCACGAGTGCCGAACGTCAACAACCGAAATACCGACACGATGTTGCAACCCCCATCTCAATGTAAAAAAAACATTTGGCTAATGCGTTTTAAATTGAGCCATCGTATCGCTCGAAAACATGGTCTCTTGCGCTTTCTTGTGAATCGATGCAGAGACACGCCAGTGTCAACATTCAATATGGTTAGATGGCCAGACTCAACATATGGAAATCTAAATCATTTGAATGGTTGCCATTTCGAAATGATCGTCAAGAGTATCGAATTCAACTTGATCAAATCAAATGTACTACATGAGTTTTCAATTTTGTTTGCATTTCAAATCAAACAACATCAAATGTTATATCATTTCACTGAGCTAAAGCTGTGTAATGTTAACTGTTCTGAATATATGCGATGTATGTATAATTGGGCTTAGCCCGAAAAAACTGACATTTGAAATGAGGTATGAAAATTAGCATATATGAAAATGATCAAGAAACCAGAGCAACGAGTAATATTTGGATTTCGACTCTTTTGAGATTATTCTTCTTTTGCATATGATTCTAACGCGTGCCTCGGAATCGACACATATCAATTAGCACGTCAGCCGAATCATACTCCGGAGTTACACATCTCTGCGCAAATGTGCCGTTGCTTTTCATTTGTGCCACAAATCTCGGCATTTCATCATTTTATGCAAATATTATTTTTAAAAGATTCAAATTGAATTAAAGAAAAGATCGTCTCATCGTTTTTTTTTTCTTCTCTGTGCTCTGGTAGCAGACAGTATCTTTCCAATTCCAACGAATTTTGCGCTGTATATCTTTCGCGTTGAGTAATAAAAACTTGAATTGCACAGACGAATGTGTGATTGTTCTTGAGAATAAAAGTCGCAAAAAAAAGAAATTTTGCAAGCCATGAATGCTTATCCAACGGCAATTTCGTCTTATTTCACTTCAATGATGTGCACACAAGAGAAGAAAAAAAGAGTCGTTCATCTAAGTGTTCCATCGTGATCATATATAAAGTTGCTGAAAAAATGCAAACACAGTCGGTTTTTTTCCTGCTGTCGTTTTGCGCTTTTGTCGTTTGTTTGATGTTGTAATTGTATTTTTAGCACAATACAGAACGGAGGAGACACAGCCACAAAGAGCACATTGCAATAGTGTATCAGAATTGTGCTATCTGTGCGCAAAACGAGATGATTCACAACTGAAAATAGCGGAACAAAAAATTTAAAAAAATCTTTTTGCGCTGTGGCACACTACCGGTTCGAAGGAGAATTGTGCAACGCAATTTAGCGGTCACTGAGCTTTATTAAGGCGATTCAGTGAATTATATTTAAAACACAAATATTAAAATTAAACTAGCGAATGGCGCGTTGATTTAATAATATGTGTCCATTTCTACGTTGCTTTATTCAAAATTAAATGGTCATGAATTCATCGAGTGCAGTTACACCAAATGACGCCAATGCAACCAAATGAACACAAGGCTGTCGGCTGCTGTACAGTTAAAAGCAATATTTTGATCTCGACGATGAATCACAAACACATGCACCAAGTTCTTGGTCACACCTTTCTGTCATCTGGGTTATGTAAACTCAATCATTTATCAACTTGTGTGTTCTAAATTTCACTTAAGGCGCGACATTTCCAAATTAAATAATCAGTTTGAAAAGATCAAACCCGTCGAATCATTCATCTCCACATAAATATGTGCGAATTAGTTCCAGTGCGATGGAATAATTGCTACGCAAACTTCGAATTACATACGTACGCGCCTCAATTGTATGCCGAAAACATGAAATGTTTGTGTAGAACTGAGTGCTGTTTCACACGCAGCAGCAGCAACAAAATAAAAATTTTCAGCTAAAAACTGGGTGAACAAAAAAAACTTAACAACAGCAGCATCAGTAACAACTGAAAAAAGGCATGAGAATGAATAAATCCATTGAGCTGTGAATTTCAATTACAATATTTAAAACGATATCATTTGCACAGAAACACAGAAATATACAAACAACAACAACACCACAGAAAAACACATTGAACAATTAAGTTGCTCACGGTTGATTTATCTGTGCACATTTTATTGATGATATTTAAAGTTTGTGTTGTGATTTTTTCCCCTTGTGTTGTTGTTTTTGGTTTTTTTGGGCGATCGCATACAAAAATAAGAAAGCGAATAAAATGATCTGGAACAAGAGACGATTGTGTCTTTTGTAATTAATAAAACTTCAGCTTTATTTAAGCGTATAATTTCGAACATTTTTGACCTTGTATGGATTTGTGTCTTTTCTCCCTTCTCTCGTCATCGTCGTTCGTATTGTGCACTTCTTTTGTTCCTTTTCATTGTCCGTCCTCTTGTTATTCGGTACAATAAAAAGCCGTGTGTAGTAATAATATAAAACTAGCCAGCCGTGTGTAGTAATAATATTTGGAACATTTTCCAAGTGGCTGTCACATTTCTTTTCCGTTTCAACGCCGTTTTGTTTGTCGGTTGGTGTGTGTGTGTGTGTGTGTGTGTGTGTGTGTGTGTGTGTGTGTGTG